ATATGAGTGTATAATATACATCATTACGATGAGGTGGGGCTTAAAGATTCGCTAGAAAAAAGTCCACCGTCGATCTATCAAAACCAAGTTAAGTTAAAAACATTTACAACAATATTTGAAAGTAGAGGAAAGAAGATGTAAAACTAGGCATCACCTTGGGGTGATGAATGGCAATGATTGAAAATTTATAACAAAAGTATTTTCATTTGTTGTTAGTTTTTTTGTGGGCACTCTTGTTAACCTCCTGAAGGAGAGAAGTTAATGTTTTCATCATAAAAGCTGAATTGCTAATTTTATGTTTTCTCGACGTTTCAAGCCATTCTGAATCGAATGAGAACAAATTTGAAAAAGGTAAGTGTTTATGTGTGTGTGTATGTGAACAGATTTTTTGCCGTAAATCGACGTTTTCTGAAAAACGGCTGGACCGATTTCAAAAATTTAAAAGCCATTGGTTGGTTGGAAATCGTGCTGATTAGTTTTTGTTAGAGATCGGCCGTGCCGTTTTCTTGTAATAAACTGTTAAAAAAGAATTTATTATTATTTTGTTGACGGTAGATATTATTTTGTAGATCATATTAAAATATTACGGCCCAACGACAACTCGTTTAACTTTAATAATTTGTCAAAGTTTGCAAAAATTGTTATAGTTTTTTTTTGGAATTCGTCAAAATTACACCTTTCATTGACGTTTGCTCAAAAACGCCTGAAACGAATTTCGGAATTTAAAAGCCATTTGATGTATCTCGATGAGGATTATTGTTTCTCAGCTTTGTGCGACGATCGGCCGAGCCGTTTCTTGTAATTCGGAAAAAAGTGTGAAACTATTCGTCCACATTTAAGCTCATATTACCGAATTGATTTTAAAAATTCAAAAACTGTTTGAAAGATATTAGTTGGGAATGTTACTGATTAGTTGTAGCTAAAACTCTACCTAGCCGTCTTCTTGTAATTAACTCTTGAAAAAAAATTTAAGCCGATTTTTAAGGAACTTTTTTGGCGATATATATCATTGTCTTATAGAACTTACTAAAATATTACAGACTTACGACAAGGAGTTTAATTTTAAATAGTCATCAAAGTTTGAGAAAATGTGTAGTTCTTTTGACGTTTGCTAAAATTAAAATTAAACGATTTACTTAGTATAGCGATAGAGTACTTGGTCCTAATGAACATATTAAACCATTAAAGTCCTACGGAAACTGGTTCAATTATAAAAAATATTGATTTTTGAAAATTTGCTTTTAAAAAATATTTCGAGTTAACGTGATCGTTTGTCTTCAATTATTCACTCGGAAATAATAAATCCACTCGGAAATCTTTGGGTGATTTACCCATAAATTAATTTATTTTTTATTGATTAATTCGATTATTTACACATATCGGAAAGTTCATGTGACTTGCCTCAAGGCATAATACCAACACCAACTAGTTTTTTTTTATTTATTTTTATTGGCCTTGCGTGCACGTAGCAACCTACGACATATTTCAATTTCAATACAATCTACAGATTCATACTATTCTCCTTATATAAATCCTATTCTCCTTTCTATTTTATATTCTACCCTATTCTATGTACTCTTCAACGTAACTTCATTATTTTTTTTCTTCTTCATTATCTATCATTGTATCTTCTATCTTAGGTCTTCATTACTTCTATTCTTACTTCCATTCATTTTTAATTTTTATTCTCAAATCTTTTATACACTATTGAACTATTTTTAATATTATTTCATACTATTTTCAACATTATTTCAAACTATTTTAACGTTATTTCAAACTAATTTTTACATTTTATCAAACTATTTTTAGCAGTATTTCTATTTTTTACCGGGAATTCGAACTTCGAACCTCCGACGTGTGATTAAATCATTTCATACCATTTATCTACTGTTGAGTTGATACTGATAAGTGGCTAAATGCTCGAGTAAGCGAGGACAATAAAAACTAGTTGGTATTGGTGTTTAGCCTTGAGGCAAGTTACATGAACTTCCCGATATGTGTAAATAATCAACTTTAAGAAGTAGATTGATTTATGAGTGATTAAAAGTATTTCTAGTGGATTTATTACACAAAATTGAAAATAAACGAACGAATAGGGTAGGGCGGGGCTAGTTGAGCAAATTTTTACCTAAACGGATGTAGCACCTCAATGAAAAGTCTCAATAAATTGCTATACGGCTTAATGGATTTGTTGTTTATCGCTTAACAAAAGTGTTAATACTATTTTTTGGTAATAAGTAAAATTTAAAAGCTACAGCTGTTAAAAAAGTCAAGTATGCTCAATGTACCCCATAGGATAGGTGATGCAAGTTGAGCACTAAGAAAGTATAATGAAATCATAGGTTCAATGTCGATTAGTGATGAAATAAAATAAGTTTTTAATAACCAGTTCTATATTTATAGTCTTCCTTGGCAGAGAAACAATACTTATAGTAATTTGCTTTGAATAATTAACGAATAAAGCAGAATCAACAGAACAATATCGTATTTTAGGAATTATTTTTCCATATATTCAGTATATTTTTGTTTTAAATCATTATTTTCTTTATATTATTACTTTAGATAATTACTCATAAGACTTAGCTTAAATCTTAAAAAAATAATCAATTTCTGGAAGTTAATGATAATTGTCTTAGTGACAGAACAAGTTTAGCAACTATGCTCAACTAACCCCAACTCGGAATTTCAAAATGTGAAAGTTATAGCCAGAATCTCTGTGCATATTAAAAGTACTATAATTATATTGAAAAATAACATGTACCTGATTAAAAATAAATCACATTTTACTAAACCAGACGAAAACTCGCGATGAATTACGTTTTTATTTTTTGGTCTCAAAAGAAACAAAACGCCCGTGAGCCCCACTCATTTTTCCAGCGACCACTAGCGATCGCGGGATGTTTATTTCTCCCAAACCTCTATCTTTCCGCCATATAATGCCTAAACGAACGGTGAATAGTTTTCGAGATATTTTGATTGCTCAACTTGCCCCTATGCTCAACTAGCCCCGCTCTACCCTACGTTACTCAAAGTATTCTCTTAAAGCAAATTTTCACAAATTAATAATTTTTATAATTGAACCAACTCCCGTAGCGTATATTCATTAAGATTAAGTACTCTGTCGTTATACCAAGTAAATCGTCTAATTTTCATTTTAGCTAACGTCTCAAAAACTACTCATTTTCTCAAACTTTGATGAATTTTTAAAATTTCACTTGTTGTAAGGCCGTAATAAGTCCTATAAGACCATAATATATATATCGCTGAAAAAAGTTCCATAAAAATCGGCTTAAATTTTTTTTCAACAGTTAATTTCAAGAAAATCAGTATCATTCCCAATTATTATCTTTCGAACAGTTTTTGATTTTTTAAAATCGATTCGGTAGTATGAGCTTAAATGTGGACGAAAGGTTTACCACTTTTTTTCAAATTACAAAGAAACGGCTTGGCAGATCGTCGCACAAAACTGACGAACGATAGTCCTCATTGAGATACATCAAATGGCTTTTAAATTTCTGAAATAGGTTCAGGAGTTTTTGAAAAAACGTCGATCAAAGGTCTAATTTTGACAAATGCCAAAGAAATGATACTAATTTTTGCAAACTTTGACGAATTTTTAAAATTAAACGACTTGTCGTAGGGCCGTAATATTTTACTATGATCTATGAGACTATGGTATCAACCGTCAATAAATAATAATAAAAATCGTCAAAAATTTTTTTTAACACGTTATTCTAAGAAAACGGCCTGGCTGATCTCTACCAAAAACTAATCAGCACGATTCCCAACCAATATCCAACGGTTTTTGAATTTTCAAAATCGATTCAGAATTGTGGGCTAAAACGTAGACGAAAAATTTTTCACTTTTCTGCGATTCATAAAGAAACGGCTTGGCCGATCGTCGCACAAAACTGACAAACAATAGTCCTCATGGAGATACATCGAATGGCCTTTAAATTTTTGACATCAGTTCAGCCGTTTTCGAGAAAACGTCGATTTACGGCAAAAAGTCTGTTCTCATACACATACGCACACACTCACATACTTTTTCTAAATTTGGTCTCATTTGATTCAGAATGGCTTGAAACGTCGAGAAAACATAAAATTAGCAATTCGGATTTTTTATGAAAACATAAACTTCTCCTCCGGAAAGTTAATAATTTATTTACTGTCGATCGGGAACGCTACTCATGAGCTAATCCCGCCACCTGTCTGTTGATAGATCAGAAGTAACTAATTATTCCCGATTAGCTAACATGAAGTAATACGTGCTGTGATATCTCGGGATATCAGCATCTCACATGACGTACAATGAGCGATGTATCCGTACCGCACGGACGGGCGTTAATTGGTAACAAGACCGCGCTCATCGTATTTCACTCCGTCGCATCAATAACTTCACATACATTTCCATCGGCAACTATTAGGTATTAACGGACAAACATAACGCACTGCGGATTATAATTACTAATTTGCGATGACATATCAATGACCAATAACATGGTAAAATATTTTTAGAGTGCCCCGGTTGGCATTCCGAATTCCATTGAATTGCGATTAACGTGAAATGTATTTTTTGTTTATTCACATCGACTTTCGGGATATGTTTGCTGTTTATTTGAGTCGATAAATTGTATGAAATGATTTTATGACCACTATGAAAAATAACATGGCATTTTATAACAAGGTAACAAGAAAAAATCTGCAATACTTTTATTGAGTGCATACAAATGGATCACAATGAGCTTCTACTAATGATGTTAACATGCAGAAGTATCTATTTCTAAGAAGATCCTAAAGTTTATTTCCAAAATATTATACTAAGACAGAATCAATGTTAATAGTTCGGACTGAGAATAGCGTTAATCTGAGAACTGACACAAATATTTTACAAGACTCTTATAACTATAAACCTCATTATTAATTTATTACATTTTTTAACTTACCATAGGGTAAGTTATTGTAATCTTCCGAAAATCGGAATTGAAAATGTTGCATACCTTCATGTTTCAGATGATTTTTTACATTTTGGCATACCTTAGAAAAAATGAATGTATATGTGTGTGTATTTGGATACACAAATTTTTGTTGACGATTTCGGTAGCACAGTTCAACGGAATTGAGTGATTCCAAAAGCATTCTATTCCTATCGATAAGGAGCCGTGCTGATTGGTTTTTGGACAAAGCAGGTCCAAAAGCGTCTCACAGGCAGTTTTATGACCTTTTAGGTATACGAGTCAAAATTATGCCATTGTGTATTTTCCAGAAAATACAAGAATATTACTTTAAAGATACAGAACAATGAAATTGTGTTCACGTGTCAATAGCTCAAATGTATAATTTATTGAATAGTAAGGGGTCATATTTCTAACTACGACAATCGTTGGCCATGAATGACGACAATCAGGAATATACAAACGGAAAAATACACGAAACAAAATACATTTATTATGAATTTTCCATACACTGAAATAACAATACTTCAGAGTTCAAAATTTATCAGTGATATTAATAGTATTTAAGCAACAAAAAATATTTAGTATTATATAACTTTTTACAAAATTACACAATTAATTTGATCTTCTATAAACAGTTAATATGATCAAATTAAATTTGCACATTGAATTTGTTTCCCGAAGGAGAAGTTTGTTTTCATGAAAAAATTCGATTCGTTAATTTTATGCTTTCTCGACGTTTCAAGTCATTCTGAATTGTATGGGATCAAATTTGGAAGAAGTCCCTAGTAGAAATGTATCGTGGCCAGAGGGGTAAAATATCGTGGCGCAATATTCGAATCTTGTCTTTAGATGGACCGGACAATATTTAATTTCAAAATTATGGAAAATTTGGAAAATTCATCGGAAAAGTGTTTTATATGGTTTATTACAAATAATAAACATGTTTCTATCTGATTTACGCCTCTAATTTTATATTTACACGAATTATACATAATTTTTAAATGTGGGCGCGAAATCCAAGTTTTTTGTGGCCGACCAAGATTCATTTCTTCAGTATTATCGAACTTGGGAAATACATGGTATTTATAAAGGTCACGAAAAAAATTAACTTTAAATAATTAATTAGCACCAAAATCATGATTAAGGCTTTTAAAAAGTCATATGCTCGACCGCAATTAATAGTTTGATACATTTTTCTTATAAATTCAATATAAATTTTAAATGTGGGTTTCATGCATTTTTTTCTGGGCGACCAAGATTCATTTCTTCAATATTATCGAACTTAGGAAATACATGGTATTTATAAGGGTCACGAAAAAAATTAACTTTAAATAATTAATCAGCACCAAAATCATGATTAAAGCTTTTAAAAAGTCATATGCTCGATCGTAATTAATAGTTTGATACATTTTTCTTATAAGTTCAATATAAATTTTAAATGTGGGTTTCATGCATTTTTTTTCTGGGCGACCAAGATTCATTTCTTCAATATTATCGAACTTAGGAAATACATGGTATTTTATAAGGTCACGAAAAAAATTAACTTTAAATAATTAATCAGCACCAAAATCATGATTAAGCTTTTAAAAAGTCATATGCTCGATCGTAATTAATAGTTGATACATTTTTCTTAAAATTCAATATAAATTTTAAATGTGGGTTTCATGCATTTTTTTTCTGGGCGACCAAGATTCATTTCTTCAATATTATCGAACTTAGGAAATACATGGTATTTATAAGGGTCACGAAAAAAATTAACTTTAAATAATTAATCAGCACCAAATCATGATTAAAGCTTTTAAAAAGTCATATGCTCGATCGTAATTAATAGTTTGATATCAATTTTATATAAATTCAATATAAATAGTAAATATTATATTCACATTATTTTTTTTGTTTATTATCGAACTTGGGAAATAAGTGGCATTTACATTGGTCAAGAAAATAATCAATTTTAAATAATCAATTAGCGCCAAAACACATCAATAGTGACTCTTATAAAACATATTCTTGATCAGAATTAATTAATTAATAGCTAAATTAATTAAATCCATTATTAAACGTGCAGATATGCAAAAATTTTCATTTTCGATTTTCGTCCCATTACTATAACTACTCTACGGGAAGTAAAAAAAAGCAATGAATAATTTAACTATATTATATATTTATTAAATATAAATATGTATTTATTAACTATATTTAACGACATTGTAAGTATGATATCATTCAGTAAACAAAACAAAAATAAAATTATACAAGATTATAGTAGTACAAAAGTACCAGAATATATAAAAAATTTAAATAATGTCAGTATTCGAATAAAATAAAAGTTAAATAAAAAATTTTGTGGTTAGTCACATGACTTACTTAAATTTGTTTTTTCCTGGTTTGGTATGTATTAATATTATTTAAATCTGTTATATCTACAGTAATATATCGATCTATATTAAAAATTTAGAAGTTTTGTATTTATTCATATATAACATTCTGAAATTGCATCATATACATGTATGTATGAACATCTGGTTTTTGAGACTTCTCAATAGTGTCTCTTCTTTCTTTCATATAACCGATATTTGTATAAGGCTATCTCGCTTAGAAATTTTGACTGTGTCGCTTCGTGTCCTTTGGTCATCGCGTTTCGTAAAAGGACCTTACGCATTCTACCTGACTGATATCAGTTGTGGCCGAGATTATTTTATACGTAATTTATGAACTAACATTATGTCATTGCAATTTTGTTTTAATTACATATTTTTACATTTTTGTAATAGCAATTATTATTTATATAAAAAATCCAAATTTATTATTGTTTACATAGAAAAAGAGTATGATTGTAAAAAATGTTTTTCGGTTGGTCCTTGAAGAAGGAAAAAATCCAAAAGCCCAAAACGTAGAATAAAATAAGTAAAATATTAATTATATTTTGTGAAGATAAAATTAATGTAATATAATTCAGAAAAAAAAACAAATTTAATATTTAATAATAAATTTTATATATATGAACATTTAATATAATAGTAATTAATAGCGTTTTTATTAATGCTTTGAATATTTTCTAAGTAACATTCACAGATTATGTAATTTACTAACTATCTCATATTGAAATGAATGAAAAAGAAGTTATGTATAAACTTTAAAGACTACTACACTGAATAAACTAATAATGACAATTAATGAGCGAATACTTCGTAACATAAAATGATACAAAAACATAAAAAGCATAAAACAAAAAAACCTTTTAGAACCGCCCTTTGATTAACAATGCTATTACGACTGCATGGAACTAAGCACACGCACACACTATCAACAATGCACAAGGGAAGCAAAGTCTCGCATTGTCGCATTTTTCAGTAGAGTCAAATTTGTTTGGCTGTGCATTTAGCAATTCTTGTTGAATTTAGAATTATTATAATATTAAATATTCATATATAATATATAGTAAGTCTGGAAAAAACTTAGTGCGTGAATTTTTAGTGAATAATAAAATGATCTATGATATCAAATAATAATTGGCTAAGACCATATTTTGTGAACAGTTTATAATTAAAATCAAGCGGTTAATTAACACAATTTTGAGTTTTATGGTTAAAGTACGTAAGTATATTTATTACTTATATTATATAAATCAACATACATATTTAGTAACAATGATGTGTTTTATATATTCTAGATTGACTAATTGAAGTGGATGTAAAATCAGCTGTAATATAAAAACTATCACATAGCAAAAATGGATATGATAAAGGTAATAAAAATATTAACAAACTATTAAATTCAGACTTTTCAATAATTTATTATCGCTTTTGAATATTTGATATTCGTATTTCCATCAACGTTTTTTTTTTATAATTTAAAATTAATAAAAGTTAAAATTTTACATTTACTGTGTTTTTAATTATTTCAGATTTAACTGTGATCGAGTTCTAGAAAATATGAGTTTCCAATAAACTACAATGCCAGAAATGTTTTTTTTATTAAAAGCTAAGTAATTGAATTTATTATGAGTTTATAAAATCAATATATTCAAATATTAATATATTTTATCTTATTTCAGGTGCAATCGTGATCGAATGCAAGAAAATGTTAAAACATGTGTGAAAATATCCAAATAATATAAGATTTCCAACACTAATTAAGTACTTATAATAGACAATTAAGGCGATAGGATTAACAAGATGAGATTATGATTTACCATTAAGATCCTCCAAATTATTTAATGACTGAAAATATTTTGATTGTTCTATATCTTATTATTATCTAATAATGTGTAAATTGTTAATAAAATTATTAAGATTCAATACATAAACTATTTAAAAATGTATGTATTCATTTAGAATAAATAAACTTTTATTATCAATGAGTTAAATACTGTTTTCCTATATAAACTAAAATATTTTTAAATGTGGGGTTAATAATAATTTTGAATTTGGGGTAATATTGTTTATTTATATTGAGCTTATATTGTTTTTTTATGTAGGGTAAATATTGTTTATTTATATTAATCTTATATTGGTTTTCAATATTGGGCTATATTAGTTTTGAATGGGATTTTAATATTGTTTATCCATATTGGTTTTATATGGGGCCTA